GAGACCAAGCCAGGAACATGTCACCTGTTGATATTGGTATGTGATGGGGCCAATGCAGGAAGCATTCTTGAGGGCGGCGTGTCAAATACTGATTCGCAGCCAAGGGCAGCCAAAGGAAAGATCATGGCCCCCATGTCTCATTGTCAGGCTTAAGTTTCACCCATTTCCGCGCGAATTACTGCACGGGCCTGCGGCTGTGAAATTGTCCCAGACGGCATTTCTAGTGGGTTCGGCAAGGAGCCAGGGCTTTTTGAAGTAGTGCTCTGGGTACTGAGGGTCTCCAACATCCTTGATCTGGTAGGCGAACTTGTTGGTCACACCTCCAAGAGTGATCACGGCCAGAAATGAGATCGTGAGAGCGGTTTTGTTCACCATGGTGGCGCGAACGAACGATTCGCGTCCCCGCCGGATTGTCCTGACTATCTTTGAGCCAGTCCCAGAAACGACACCACATCTCTATCAAGCTTCAGGCAATCACAGGTGACCCCCCGAACGACCTTTTCCCCCCCAGACCAAAGGCGGAATGAGGGGAAATTGTGTCTGACCACGTTGAAGCAAGTCAAGACAAAGGATAATTATCATTCACATGTGCCACGAATCTTCAAGTACCTTCGCTAAAATGCCTATCCCCTGCCTTTCCTGAATACACATCCACCAACGTTGCAGGGGTTCGGTGTGTTTAGTGCTTGGACCCAGGCACTCCGGTAACACTTGTCAAACCAACAAGATGGCAGAACAGCACGAGGCAAATCCGTCCATTCTCACAAACCAACACAATTGGCCCAGGAGGACTCGTTCCTCTGCTTGCCATCATGTCATGGGATTGTGCCAAAAGTACGTGGGCTCTACTTTAGATGTGCTGGTTTTCCAACATACACATATGACAGAACATGTGACATGTCATGTCAAATCCATTTGGCCTGGTGCAACCAACTTGCCCCCTGCAACACTAAGGTTGTTGGTCCAACCATTTGCCAACAATCACCGCACTTTGGGCAAATGAACTGCCAACATACGAATGGCTGCGCTTGACATCTGCATCTGGGACCCGCGAAAGCGAGGCTTGATCTTGGCCTCTGCAGACTCTCAGCTGGAACACACAACGTTCCCGAGAAAAAACAAATCCCGCTGTCAAGGTCACGCCAACAAGCAGCACAGGACAAATCGACCAGAAACCTCAAACGGCAACATCTTGATATGACTCCAAAAGCTGAATGAAGGGCTTTTCAAGTAGAAAAAACGTCTACGTCATGGCTTCCCTTCTCCGGTGTCCCCTCAGCTCGCTCGCTCGACCCATTTCAAACAAAGCAGCGCCTGCTGTCTGCTCCCCAAGCGCTGCACAGCTCCTTCAGACACCAGAGCCATGTCCTCAGCTCCCGCATCGCATCGCCGCATCGCTCGATCCAGCTGGCCCTGGTGAATAAACGAAGGCCAAACAATCGGCAATCTAAACCCGTGGAGTCCATCCATGTCAAAGAAACACGCAAAAAAAGGTATTATGTGCGAAGCTGTGCATGAAACCTCTGACCTGGTGGTAAAACATGATATGAACACCAGGTAGCTTTTGGTCTGAACACCCAGCATCACCCGCTTTAGTTTAAAAGCAAGAACACACTGTTGATGGCCCAGGTATGGGGTATCAGTGGGGTCCAAAATGGTCATGGGTTCACGGATCAGCAAAGTTCCCCAAGCGAAATCCTTAGGCCGCAATTTCAGCTCTTTCCGGATACCTCAATGGCTCTGGGAAGGGACCAAGGGATCGAAAGGATACGTCCCGAGGTTTGGAGGTGGATTCCATCCGGAAACTTGGCGCCTGCTTCAAACAAATCCTGAGCAGGCGCCTTTTTCGAGATCAAAGTCATTCAATGCGCGGTGCGCATACAATGTCCAACGGTTGGGCTCTGAGCATTCTTAATTTGGGCAGCGCTATCCACCGAAGGAAGGGTCTCGCAGTGCCTTCTCAACGATCTTTTGCATGGGGTTTGTCGCTTGCATGTTTCTGTTTGTTGAACGTTTGTTGGGATTATGTTCCATATATAAGCCGGCAACTTCCATTCCACTCCAAAGTGGCATGGGCATTTCGTGAAATTCCCCCAAGCGTACACCATGCCCCTTCAAAGGGAATTTGCAGGTACCCAGGCAGACCTCCTACGCCTCCGAGCCCATCGAAAGGTGCGCCCGGACTGAGCACCCCAGCGATGCTCGACTTCTCCACTTGCCACCTGGCCCCATTGGCCCACTGGACACCCCGACTCTCCGCTCGAATGGAAATCGCTCGATTTTCCAAAGGTCTAAAGCGCTAAGGTCACACAGACAAACCACTGCTGTACCATCCCAAGTTTCACTGACTTGTGGAGCTTTCCATATGTGACTCCCTGCCATAAGCTACTCAGAGAGCCAAACATCAAGCATGGGCTGCACGCTGCACACCTAGGAAGCACAGTACAACTAATGAGTTTGACACCTCGAGATTCACAATCCCGGCTTGGCAGGTCCGTGGAAGGCTTCCGCAGAGATCGGGTCGCCCCTAGCGTGCGACAACTTAACCATACTATCATACTAGCCACCGAGCCGACAGGCCAAGCTGGTGAGCTCATAGCAATTCGCACAATAGACAAGGTTGGAAAAAACATGCAAGCAAAACAACTGCTTGCAATTTTTAATTAGTCAAAAGGCAGAACACACGCGTCCTACCGCCTGTTGCATGGCGCCATCCACTGGTGTCATGCAAGGTTGCTCTCCTCCCCTTTAATGGGGTTGATGTACTTTGTTCGATTTCGACAATCCAATGCAATTCCAATGCAATTTGCCAAGGGTAGTAATAAACGAGTAGTAACCTGGCAAACATGCACCAACCCTGTATCCCTTTTCACCCCGCGACACCAGCCCATAAAAATGGTGATAAAGGAGGATGCAAGGGTATATGTGGGGCACTCACCTCAGGGGCACGTGTTGCTCGCACTGAAATCCTGTTTTCAGGCTGATTGTTGCCTGGGAACAACAACAAACACAGGATATGAACTGCGATCGAATGTGATAGACATCGCGAACATGTCGAGCGTTTAGTGCAAGCACTTGCTTTTGCCAAGACCAAGTAGAGACATGCAACCCCTTGTTTCCAATCTAGAACAAACACGTGTTGCCCTCCCAGAAAGATGAACGTGCACAACCCCCCCCCCGGTTGAAATAGGACTTCTTGGCTGTGCATTTCCATTTGTGGTGGGCTATTCCTTTGACCTAAGAGCTGATTGCGCAAAACCAGCCGCTCAAACGGTCCTCATGATGATCGTCTATTGCCTAAGTCCTTGATCCCACATACTAAGCATGCTCGCGCCAGCATTGTCAGAAGCCTAATCTTCATAATTTCCCCGCAAACAAGCGTAAGCCTACTGTTGGCATGTGACGCCAGGCCACGACGAAAGCAAGTAAACACCAAGCAACAACTGCATGAAAAGCATCAAAGGAAGGCAGGAACAAAACCTCGGGCAAGCCACCAGCAAGCCACACTCAGAGCGAAGAAAAGGGTCATAGCTTGACAGAGGCGGTTCTGCATAAACACCTGTTTTCACATTTTAGGTCCAAACGGGCTTAAAACCGCGGACAACCCCCCGGACAAACCCCCGGACAACCCTCCGGACAGCTTTGAGGGCCCAAAATCGGCGGGACAACTCCCCGGACAAACCCCCGGACAACCCTCCGGACAGCTTTGAGGGCCCAAAAGCCCGGGACAAACCCCCGGACAAACCCCCGGACAACCCTCTGGACAGCTTTGAGGGCCCAAAAGCCAGGGACAAACCCCCGGACAAACCCCCGGACAACCCTCCGGACAGGTTTAAGGGCCCAAGAACCCGGGACAAACCCCTGAACAAGTCTTCGGACAGGTTTGGAACACGCCAAAACCACTCGGAGACCACTCGGAAACCACTCGGAAACCGCTCGGAAACCACTCGGAAACCACTCGGAACCCGCTCAAAACCACTCGGAAACCACTCGGAGGGAAGTATTCTCGCGGGAGGGGGGGTTTGCAGCATAAATCTCGGCAAAGTGCGCGGACAACCCTCCGGACAACCCTCCGGACAACCCCCCGGACAACTTGCCGGACAGTTGTTTGTCCAGCAGTTTGTCCCGCACTTTGTCCGGCACTTTGTCCCGCACTTTGTCCCGCGCTCTGTCCCGCATATCGAGGGGGGTGTTTATGCAGAAGGGCATTCGTCAAGTCATAGCTCAGGTTCCGACTCCAGTCAGCGGCTAACCGCCAAAGGGGTCCAGCAAAATTAAACTAAAACTATGTCTGGCGGGTTCATCTCAGGATACTCATTACTGGCCTCATTCATCCTCATTCTGTTGCCATGGGCAAACTTGCCCCTCAAGTGGTAAGTTTGACAGCAAGGCCTGCAAGAAACAAGGCAACCATACAAATCGGCATCCTGTCGATTCAGACGCCAGGGCTCGCTTTTGGACTCTATACTTCCCCTCAAAAAACATGACCTTTCCCGCTGCTCAGGTGATGCTTAAAACCACGACACTGAGGAAAACTGTCCTGGGCTGCCCTCAGATCCCCCGCTGAAAGTTTAACTTTTAGTGGCTTGAAGGCAAACTACCACTAAACACTAAAAGGCGATTTTGGCTTCTCAAAGACACCGCGGGTGCCGCCTCTCTGCTGGGTTGGGCCAGCCCTGAAACCGCGGACGCGCGCCCTGCCCGTTGGCCTGGCCAAGCTGACCCCGTGCAAAAGGTTCCACTGGATAGCTGGCAAGAGGCAAATTGCCAAAGGAAAAAGACTTCAAGCCAAAATGAAAGAGGTACCAAGAAATAAGGAAAGAACCAATCACGGAAATTTGTGGGTTCCCACTTGTTCCAAGCTACTGTGGCAAATGACACGCATCTTCAGTGATCCTCAAAAATGGCAAAGTGGACAATCCCACGTGGCAAGATCTAAAGGCGCGAATTTTGATTTCTTCCTGATGGGCCACGCCAGACGCCGCTCTGGACTTCACGCCACGCCCCTACGAAGAAGCCCAGCTTCTTGTGTTTTTGATGAAGCGTCTGTGGGAAGCTACACTTGGCTACAGACTACCCCTATGTGCCCTTTGGACATTTCAAGCTTAATAGGTATAGCAGTGTTGTGCACTTAGGCCAGTCACTCACGATGTTCTCCACGCTTGCCTGAAAGAAGAGTGGTTTCTGACTTCGATCGAAAGATCTCAACGGAAACTGCCGTAGGTCTTTGAACAATCTTGTTATTTGGAAGCAAACAGCACCTGTCTTGTGAAATCACGTGAAATCAATGTGTTTGGCAGAGTTCGTATTCTTGCCTGCCATTTGAGCCACCACTCAAAACAGTTGACTATTGATTCTACCAAGATGGTCATACAATGCTTGGGCAAGCCTCACTGGGAGCCAACTCCAGGCGTGCAACCCTTTTACCGCCACGAGCAAAGATAGGATTCCTACCTCTACAAGGATCCCAAACTCAAAAGCGCTCATTATATTCCCCACACACACTTCAAAACTTTCTCAGGGAAAGGCCCCTTAAAATGCCATGAACCTGACATGCTGGTGCATCTACCAACCAGAGAACCATAATCAAGGATGAATCATGAAGAGGAACCCCCAGCCTTCCGTATGCCAGAAACCCATCAGTTTGGATCGGGCGATCACAAGTTACAGGACTGGGACTGCAGATTTTGGAAAGAGCCGAAATGAAAGGCAGCGGGCCCCCAGGACCCCAGGACAGGGGGGGCCACTTGTGATGCAAAGAGGGGGTTTACAACCCGTTTTTCGCACCAAAGCAACCTCCCTTGAAAGTCAAAGTGTGGGGCCGGGGGTCTTTGGGATTCTCCTCAATACTGTAACCCAACAAATACACACGTGCAGATGACCAAAAGACAGCAATATGTTGAGAGTCCTCTCATTTGGACCCAATCAGTGTGGCCGGTCCAGTGGTTTTAGCTCAAGGTTCCTTTGGAGGTCTCAGGCCGATTCACCAAATTACTTTGCAACATGGCCATTACGGCTTGTCCAGGCCCCCACTTACTGCAAGCCCCCGACAACCAGAAGAACCCCTTTTTCCAAACCCCCAGTCGGGGCTTTGAGCGCTGCTCGCATGCACCTTCTGCTTCTTGCGTCTGAGGGGAACTTTGCCACCTCCCTCCGCTTGGAGAACTGTAGGTGGGGCGGGGCGCGTGAGCGAGTCAAAAGTCGACACCCGATGATTCTTTACAACCCACATGTCAGCAAACATTTTTTAGGGGGGTTGAGCCAACCCCGCCCCTCATTTTCCGGCGCTTCCGAATGCGGCTTTGAGCCTACTGTTCCCACGTTGGCATCGCCTGGCTCTCAAATCAGGATGCATCTCCGCACCCTGAGCTGCGAAGAGTCCGGTGGAACCCGGCTGGCTACCATTGCTGGGGGAGAGAGAAACGGGCACGAAGGAAGAAAAGCAAGAATCGAAAAACAAGTAGAACAAAACAACGGAAGCCAGAGTTTCACAAACACATATGAAGACAAAACACACTGGGTCTATTCAGTGACACTCTCAACACCCTGACTCCACTCAAAGTGAGACTCCCTCGAGAGCCTCTCAAGCACGAGCCCTGCATGTCACTCTCAGAAGGCACTTTCTCGCTCATTTGAGGGACCTTGACAAAGGAAGGACGTTCTCTGATTAAAATGTGCCGTGGGTTGGTTGATTTGAGGGAAGCCAAAAGAACACCAATCCACCTGTACCTTCTGGTGGCGAGGTGTGGAATCAACGAGCCATGTTCATTCACAGTGGGATATATATATATATGTGTAATTATATATGGGTATGGGTCAAAGAACATCCCAATCCCCACTAACATAGACTAAAATTGGTGGTGCCTACCTCAAAATGGTACAATTGGTTTTGACCCACATATATATATATATATATATGTGTTGTTTTGCCTTTTATTTTCCATGTGACTGCTTTTCAAAGGAGAATAAACGGAAAGCACCCGCTGCGGGGGATCCCACAGAAAACACCTCCATATGGATCTGGGAACCTGACGATTGACTTTGCGGTGATCGCGTGGGCACCTGCAGGAAGAGAAGGGCACTCAAACATGTGAGCCCCGGACAAAATTGCGAATGTTTTCTCAAGATAAATATAAGCCGTGATCTGGAACTTAGTGAGCAAACCATTTTCTAATGATAATCTGGTGAGTGTACCCAATGTACTCGTCTTTTGAAATTTGGGTGGACCCCCCACACGCTCCCAAACTCAAAAAACTGACTAACAATAATTGTGCAAATTGCCGACGTCGGGAGCGACTCCCTGCTGCGGGCTCAGTCTTAGAAACAAACGAACACAATACGACCAAATCACACGTAGGTGGTCGGCTCATCATATCTCATGCTGGTTTCAAGCTAATTCAAGAGACATATGCGATCCCAAAGGAATCCAAATGGAGTTGTATGGTTGGCCTATGGAATTATCACCGCGCCTTGCTGCTTCAGCCATTCATGCATAAGCGTGCGGGGATGATGTAGATACCGCGCGCTCTCGAACAAAGCCAGCCGCAGTGCTGAGAGGGCAGAGATTTGCAAGTCTAGGCGCATGCAGAATGCAAAAAGGGACACCAAACGGAAACCACCTGGAGAGATCCCGAATTGTGGCAAAGAACTTTGGTATGACAACGTCATTGCGAAGCCTTTAATGGGGCCTTCAACCAAGTGATTCATGCACTACCAATGATTAAACCTAGACGGTCAAAACCTGGGTGAACTATCATGATAACCTTTAGAAGGCCCAACAGATTCCGACTTGTAAGAAATCACAGCACTGGTCTAACAAAATAGCTGAAAGGCTCTCATACAAGTAGCCCAGCAAGGACTCAGGACGACCTGGCTTTACCCGCAGGTGACTTTGGCATGACACGTCGCCACATCTGCAAAGAAATGCTAGACTCTCCAAAGCCCCACGAATGGGAAAGTGTCAACTCCAGGGTCTCTGCCTAATATTGTAGGATTTCGTATTCGCAAAGTCGTGCTCAAAGGGTTCCTAGTTATAAACGCATGATTAGCGAGATCATGGTATGGTCGCTTGTCCGAAAGTTTCATACAGTACAGCCCGCTCCAGAAAGGGATGCTTTTGTTGGAACATCCCGAAGATTGCTGTCTTTGAGCAACCTTTTGTAAGCTCCGTTCTGCGTAGTCTTCGTTCGCTTTCGTCAGCAGGCGCGGCAAAGATCAAGTCCAACTAGCGGAGATGAGTTGTTGCAAAGAGTCAAAATTTTGGGTGGTCCCAGCCTTCAATGCTGAAGGACACAAGGAGCTCCTTCTTTGGTTGAGGCTTGAAGGTATTTAACTGTGCCCTACCTTCCAGCCCAACAAAACATACTTCCGCAAGATGTGGGCTGAGCATATTCCTAGCTTCCTGGCCTATCGAAACACCACCCGTCTTGCAACCAAACTTGGAATTGCTGTAAGATGCCAACCCGGACTCCTTGAACACGAAACAGCCGGAAGACTCCTTCAAGCGAGAAACCTTCACAGCGCTCCCGCCTGCCTGGTGAACGGAAGCTCAAAACACGAACAGCAATCGGAACAAACCACGCGTCAATGCTTCCACACTGGCATCAGGCAATATGTGGGTGTGGCTCAAAATTAAACGGGAGGGGTTACGCAGGTTTTGGTCCATGTTTTCACTTACCAGGGTCCAGTTTGGCACCGCTTTTTTGAGCTGCAGCTATGGTCTGGCAACTTTCAAGGGAAGCACGCAGGACGTCAGAGATTAGGACTAGTCTAGACCTCTTGACATCTGACAAAGCAACCTTTTGGCTGTGAGAAGGTTTCGAACCCGCTTATAAATCAGTCCTTGATTGGTAGCTTGGAGTAGTAGCTTGCCAGTTTAAATCATAAATGCTGCCAACACGTGGGAGAGTCCAATCAAACACATACACACCCACACACACACACACAAACAAACACCTGCACACAAGCACAGGAGCAGGCAAAGCTTTCCGGAACTCTTCAACTGCCCCATACCTTAGACACGTGTTCAAACGACCAAAGCCCACCAGTTGGCCACAGTTTGCCCTTAGAAGAACCCTTGTGCTCGAAGAATCTTGGGGGTACAAAATGGTGCTGTCCAGTTTGGTACCCGTGGTTGAGGCTCATCTCAGGTCCAGCCGCTGGAGCTTCACCTGGCCTCCTCCTTCTTCCCATACCAAAACCCGGCCTCGGACATCGAACGCCCGCTTTGACATCGGGAGATTCCTTTTAGTCTCTGGTTCTTCGGGTTCCACGTGTATGTTCAAATGGTTGGCTGGTTGGCTGGTTGGTTGGTTGGGTGGGTGGTTGGATGGGTGGGAGGGTGGTTGGTTGGTTGGTTGGTTGGTTGGTTGGTTGGTTGGTTGGTTGGTTGGGTGTGGGTGGGTGGGTGGGTGGGTGGTTGGGCTTAGTTGCCCGGTTGCTCGGGTGCGGTTGCTCGCTCGCTTGCATGCATGATTGCCGCCTTTTTTGCTGGATTGCTTAGACATTGCTCCCCACTAGTACTGTCATTCCTTGTTCCAACACATACATCCAGTCAGCAAGCATAGACCAAAAGGAAACACAGCTGCTAAGTCGCAAGGCTGCTTTCATTATCATATGCCTTGCAAAGCGAGCATGCCAGCCCCAAATAAGCAATGACCGGTGAAGAAGAAACTTGGCTGCTGCAATCGAATCTGAACATTACTCCTAATTCCAAATCCTGAATCAACATCCCCCCACCCCCGAACAGGGAAGCCATCGCAACCTTACGCGCCTTCATGTTGATTGGCAAAACAAATATGTGTCTCTCCTCTTGATGCAAAGGCTCCACCGAGATGGCCCATTCCCCGAAACGCTGGGGAAAAAGTGAGCTACGGTGAATCTTCCGTCCCTAAGCGAGAAACAAATGTCGGAGAGCATCCGATTGCTGAGCTGCAATATCTCAAAGTATCTTGTCTCAAATGGTCAAACTGTGGGCGCCCATGGCGGGTGTCCTTTTCAC